TTTATCGACTCGCTCGCTCTGGCTCGAATATGTAAGGCTTGATGGACAAGTCTTCTGTTGTTGACATTTTATTAAAGTGTGAATAAAAATGTTCTTTGAAGGTATCGTATATAATCGTATATATCTCTAATCAAACTACAATAATGGCCGAACGTGGGGAGTTGAACTGACCGTGAACTCATGACCTGGAGAGCGGGCGGGGTGTGACGCATCTCCTTTTTATTTAAAGGGGACGCATTGAAACCGGTCGCTCACAGACGCACATCAGAAAAGGGGTAGAAAATGGGCCTGTGGAGCTATAATAATGAGGAATTCAGACCCACGCATTACAGTTATGTTTTATATAGACCACAACGGTATGATTTATATGTAAAAATGAATGATTTAAAAGCATGATATGTACCCTTTAAAATAAAACAATTTCATTATAATTGCACAATATATTGGTACCATTTTGGTTATTTTGGATATTTACTTTCAACATTATTATGAAACAGAAAAGGCAAACTATGGAAAAGCGGCTGTCCCTCTGGTGTACTAGGCATCTGAATTTCATATTGGTTCATCCCTATAAAATTCTCACTCTAAATCTAAATGTGTTACCAACATACATTTCTTAGTCTAGTCAGTGATGTGGATTCCTTTTAAAGGTATCGTATTAAATACAACGTTTAATTGTAAGGGTCACAAATAGGATGTAAAACTACAACTTGTATGTTTTGGGTGCAAAAAACATTTTCAAATCAAAGAAAAGGAGTGAGCGGGTGTGCTTAACCGAGTTTTGGTCAAAACGCTAATTAAATGACACAAAAATAGTTCATTTGTTCAGTCTGAGGTTCATTGTCTGCACATCACCGGTTATTGCCAGCCACCTGCCATCAAGTAAAGTCCATTCAGTGGACTGATAAACTTTACGGGAGTCAAAAACCGACAGACTGTGCCAGGGTCCGCGCGACGTACGGCTCAAAAGACAGGCGCCAACGCTCACGGCCACGTTAAGGTCGTTTATAAAGCCAGCAGTCGTTGCCACACACTCCCAACTGGAAACATACCAGTTGCCCGGCAACAGCGGTGACATCAGCAGCCCTCATCACCAAAGCCCCCCACCTCTTCACAGCAGGAGTTGCGTCTTAAAATAGCACAGAGATTATTATCAGGTCTCAAAAGCGGCAGCCTTTCTTTCATTTTCAGTGTGCTGGATGAACGTTGCCGCTGAGAATAAAAATTAACACATTTACATGCGTGTGTGCGAGTGTGTGAGATTGCAAACACACACTGTTTGACTTAAGCAACACGCACCAAGAGGCTGTGCTATCTTTTCAAAATAGCCACGAAAATATACTATTATATATCCACGTTTTAAATCAATCAGCTGTTACTTTTTTATTTTAATTTTAATTGACGTTTTAGTCATTTTGTTATGTGCTTTTGTCATAATACTTACATTTCATTTTATTTCAGCTTTATTTCAATTCAGGATTTTGAATACCTTAAGCTTTATTTAATAACAACACTGACTGTAAATTGTAATTACCACATAATAAAATTAAAAGGATAACAAATTTAATTTCAACATTCTTTACAAAGCACATTAAATTAATGTCATTACGATCGCACATCGGTACCATATTGATTTTCGTCAATGTTTGAATATTATCACATTTTTTCAGTATGCATTTACTTTAATAATGTTGGCTAAATTCAGTTGTAGCATTCAAAATGACGGCTTTTTAGTAGAGATGCACTGATACCAATACCAGTATAGGTATCGGACCGGTGCTGCGCTCGTGTATTCATACTCGTACTCATGAAAATGCTCAGATGCATAAGTAGTGCTTGTGAAAAAGAAACACAGACAACAGAGCAAACAGAGAGCAGAATGGATATATCAGATAAGGATGTCTATGAAGTAAAGGTATCGAATTGATAGAATGTTGAACAAATGAAATATTTACGCCTCTATATCTGGTGTGCGAAACACGCAAACTGGATTGAGCGTGCAGCGGCATTGCTTTTTCACAGACTTTCCTGGAAAGTTTGTATGCTATCGATTGAATGCTTTTTGCAACTTTAATAACAAATCATCTATATTTAATTAATACGGTGAAGTCTCTGCAGTGTTATTTTACTTTTGATTACTTTATTCAAATTATGTACCTGAAACAACTGTTAGATCTACCTGAAAAACACAGTTTATTTTATTTGTATCTTTGTTCTATTGAATTTATTTGTGCTGTTTGAAATTGGATTGTTTGTTCTTATTTTATTACTGACTGTTTACTTATCTTTAATAATGTTTTTAATTTACATTAATTAGGCTAGTTTTTGCTGTAGCATCAAAATAGTATGCTATTTAATAGTATAATATTTATCTAAACATTACAACCGCTGACCCAATCCTTAGCACAGAGCCCAGCTGGAGCAGCTTTAAATATGCACTGTGCTATTAAATGAAACATAAAATATGATAATGCAATAGAATAAACAGTGAAAGTAACAGAAACTCATACAATACATTTAATGCATAATCAAGCATGAAAATAACTAAAGGAAATATATATTTGCTAAACAAATTAAACCAATGAATATGATTGATATTTCTTTAGTTTCTCTACCTAATGTTTTTTAAAAATTACAAATGCAATGAAAATACAGGTCTCGGTATCGGCAAGTATTAAAAATTATAGTATCGTATCAGCCTCTTTCTGTAAAAAGTGGTATCAGAGCATCCCTAATTTTTCTGTTTAACTTCTATTTAAACTTCTTCTGTTTAATCTATTTAGAGAGAGAGAGAGAGAGAGAGAGAGAGAGAGAGAGAGAGAGAGAGAGAGAGAGAGAGAGAGAGAGAGAGAGAGAGATAGAGAGACTGTCACAGCAGCTTGACTTCTGATATTGCAATCCATGAGCCTGGGGAACTTTGAGCTAGTAAGGACATAATGAAGGTTCAAATCACTTCCACTTTATTTCAGAAAAGCTATCACACCAGCGCAACCAAACTGCTGTTACACTACACCTCATCACCTCTTCTAATCAAATCTCGCTCTGTGCCGCTGAATAATTCAAACACGCCACGGCGTTTGTGTTTGCACCCCGAAGTGGAGAAGATGTGCCTGTTATTTCAAGATGTGTAATAATACGACTCGTCTCGTGGCGATGCATAAACATGCTTTTAATCATGAATTGGATGGAGAGAGGGTGAAATTGTAAATGGAGGACAGGACACACACAAACAGTCAAGACAGAATCATGCATCACTTTAAGTACTTTAGCCTCTCTGAACCAGCGCTAGCACAAACAGACGTACAAATTTATCGTTGTTCCCGTTCATGCATTAAGATCTGACACTGGTTTTAAATGTGTGCTGTCGAATGACAAACAGATAGTTTACAAGTACCGACTAGAAATATGGTCGTGAGAACAAGGGGAGAGGTGATTCGGTTCATTTTGTACAAATACTCTCTGGTCAAGCTTGGCACCTGTTTATTTCTCGTTGAGCTGAATATGTTTTACGGCCAGTGTGGAACGAGGAGGTAACCCAATTCATTATGTATGTGATGGCTTATGCATAATGCTGCCAATAGGGCTTATGAATGGCTTATGTTTTTTAGACAATCCATTTCAGGCTTGCCAGAGAAATAAGGGTGACTTTAAGGTCAGGAGCTTGCAACATGGATAAACAAACAACAAAAAGTTGCACCTTTTGCCATCTGCCACTTATTTTAGTGAAGTGTACAGAAACTTAGAGTTGTATCAATCTGTTGGTGTACTGTTTTCACTTATTTCCTTTCAACTAAGGCAGGGGTGTCCTGAAGGGCCACTGTCCTGTAGAGTTCAGCTCCATCCCCAATTAAACACACCTGAAGCAGCTAATCAAAGTCTTACTAGGCATACTAGAAACTTCCAGGCAGGTGTTGAGGCAAGTTGGAGCTAAAATCTGCAGGACAATGACCCTTTTGTGACCCTGAGTTTGACACCCCTGAACTGAGGTGTTACACGGTGCCATTATGAAGGTTTTATTATGCCAGACTAACATTAAAGAAAATAGATTAAAAACAGTACTACTGTTGATATTGCAATTATTATTGTTGATATTGCAAGTATTATTGTTAATAATGAATTATTGCAATTCAAAATATTTTTTTCTATGTTAACATTTTTTTTTTCAAATGTTAATTTATTCATCTGATGCAAAGCTTTCATTATCATTACTCCAGTCTTCAGTGCCACATGATCCTTCACAAATCATTCTAATATGCTCTAATCAATCTAATTTGCTGCACAAGAAACATTTCTTATTATTATCAATTGAGCTGATTCATATTTTTGAGGAACTTAGATGCATTTTTGCAACAGCATTCACTAGAAAAACATAGCGATCTCAAACTTTTGAATGGCAGTGTATCTGTCATACCAGACACCCCTAATCCCAGCTACCATCAATTGAATACGGTGCCACTCAAACTTCCATCAAACAAGTATTAGATCTGCTTAAATTAGACATTTTTTGACTCATAGTCTGCTGTGATGAATCACATTGTGCCAACCACTGATATTATTACCAGCTAAATGATATTATTTAACAGCTGAGGATCACCCTTCATTTTAGGCTGAATTTTTTTTTTTCTCCATACTTCAAAAAAATCCATTTGATTGTAATATGAACTATGAAATCCATTTTACAACCACATCCGTTCATGGTTTGAATTCAAATAAAGTCAATTTGGATTAAATTACAACAAAAGTCATGATTGACATAATGTACAGTCCTCTCTTTGCGAAATGAAAGCTCGCAGTGGTTACATAATAACGTTTCATGGTGTTGTGCTGATGCTTAAGTTATTACTATGGCAACTGATGTTGTGAACAATACGTCCTGAAGACTAAATCTGAGAAAACGGATCTGAATGGTTGTGTTCAATGGCTTCAAAGACAAGATGGCATTATGAAACATGCAAAAGAATATCAAAGCACAAATGAACTAGAGTGTAGCAGTGACTCACCAGTTTGCCACCAGTGATCCAGCACTGGGACTCCAAAACTTCTCTTGGCCCATTCAAGGGTCTCTATGTCACAGCGCTCTCCGGCTACAAACAAGTTCCTCAGCCTACAGAAAGAAAGAAAAAACAGCTCTTAGAAAGTCTGTACACTTCAGAGCAGCCTCGTGTGTCCCTGAGGATTTTGCAGAAAACAAAAGTGTGAAGAGCAAGAATGCAGGTTTGCATTAAATATTTACTGAACTCATTCTGGGAGTAAAGAAACAAGAAGATCTGACATGCGGTGATCGGATGAAACACAGCGGTTCCTGTCATCAATCCTCAAACAAGGATTGGATTAAACCCTGCTGTGGGTGGTCACATCACACAATCCCTTCATCTGCTCAAGTCTACAGTAAACTACACCTGATACCGAAGGGACGCTCACTAAGGAGAGGCGAGGACAGCCAATTTTTCCTACAAACCCCCATGGTTATTGAAAAAATTATGAGTTTACTAAAAATATACTGCAAAATCACATTCTAAAGACTTAATTTTATTTTACATCATTAACATTTTCATAAATCACTTCGGAAAAGACTTGATGTTTGTAATAGTATTTGCTGCATTTGGAGGCAAAACTCTTGACACATCTTACCCCAAAGCTTCTGATACAGTTACCGTTTTGAGTGAAAGGCTTAACGGCTACTCTTTAGCCAAATAATTTACCTGGTTTTATAAACTAGCAATTTCACCAACAAGTACTGATATATACAGTATATATATATATATATATATATATATATATATATATATACTTAATTTCATCTGCCAGAGAAAATGTACTTTGACAGAATAAAAACAGTGCACAGTTCACTAGATGAAAGGACAACACACTTTCCCTTATATGATCCTCCTTCAGAACTGCTTCTCTTTGAGTCAGTGTTTATGATCAAGTAACAATAATAAAGATAAGTTCTTTTCACTGTTTCACTCCAGGGTCAAACAATGCAAAAACTAAGCAGGAGTCTGTTGGTGGGGCCAAAGCATGATAGGCCTTCTCAAACAGTGCCATTTTATTTCAAGCTTTTTCAAGCTGGATTTTCTCCCTTTTCGCCAATTTTTTGTGAGTTTACGTCATTGTGGTTATGCGTATGGTGTGAAACGAGCCTTGTGTGATCGTTAAAATGTCCCATTATGCATTTTGTTTAGGTATTATCTTTCATTCATTATGCTATAATTTGAATATAAAAGTAAATATGTTTGTGAATAAGAGAGTTTCCAAACAAAGTGCACGATAAATGAAGTCATTGTCTCCCAAAACAAAGAATCGATTCTAAACTGCCTGAAAGGAGTCGTCAGCCATTCCAGTCTTACTGAATCTTTTAACTGTTGCAGACACTGTGAGAAACGAGGGGATGCTGAAATATATATTATTAGAATATTTGAACATGGGTTCATCTAAACATTGTAGTAGATCTCCAAACCAAAATGAGGAACCTTTAAAATACCATAATATGGGCACTTTAATGAATTAATGATGGTGCGTTCACGTGCTACGGTAACTGTGGTAAATACCAAAAGCCGACGTGGAAAATGCACATGAACACCCCCTCATCTGGTATTTTCCATTGGGAGCTCGTAGAATATTTTGATGCACGAGTTGCCGAGATTAGATAACCTTTGACCTTTTCAAAATGGCTAATAGCAACACGAGAGTGGTAAATGGTAAAAATATGTACTATTCATGATCTAGAAACTATACAGCATATTATTTACCGTTTGAGTTTTGATAAATCATCTTCTTGCTGTAGCAGTTAAGCAATCGAAAATAGCTTTAGCTAAATAACAGGTCTGGCTAGACATCTTTTTACCACATTACGACAGCAAAAGCACTTGAACGCAAAACACTGGTAAATACCAGTTCACACGTGGAAAATATCAAATTTTCCATAGCACATGAACCACACACCATGAGTGCCACTGCAGCTTACTGGGAAGAAAAAAGCTCACGAGACACGACAAATGAGCATTGATGTGCATCAAGATGGGACCATTCACTAATTTGTGTAAAAGTGTGCAAGTAGGTGAAAAGATTATGCTACAATTGTGCAATAAAGGTACCGTTTGCAACAGTATTCGTGTTTACAAATCCATGGATGTAATGGATTCAGGAATCGATCTGCGCAAATCTATCCCAGCGACCTCCCGCAGGTGTGGGTTAACATCGGCCTTGTGATCTTGACGAGAAGGCAGATCTTGATCTTAAAGCGGCACAGTAGATTCTCTGAGCTGGAAAATTCTATTGAGTCGAGTCGTGCCCTCTGGCATGCATTTAAACCCACGCTGAGAGCCGCAGGTTACAGCGCCGATACGAGAGACACAGTCCTGGACTGAGAGCCTGTGCTTTTGTGTAAAGACACGCATTGCGTGGCTCTTTTTAGTCGAGCTGAATTGCCCTCCTTTACATTTCATCTTTGCGTTTGTTTTTCTTACTTGTCTCATTTATGTTAAAAAATTAAAGTGGCTTATATTTTCATTAAGGGTCATTTTAGAGAAACATGGCACCATAATAACTGCCAGAGCCAGAGCCACATAAAGCCAGTTTAAATGGAAATAATGGCCATGTTTTTTTTTTTTTTTTAGTGAAAAACTTCATTATTTGGTACAATGATGATTTGCATAAGCCAAGTGTGGAAAAAACACCAACTGATTTTTTATGCAGCATAAATATTCATGAGTGTGTCAAAAATGTAAACGAGCACCATCTACTAAATGACAAGCCCTATTATGCTATTATGCTAGTATTTTTAGATCTAGCTGGGTTAACTATGCTGGTAAAACTGTCATGCATTGTATTTTCAAAGCCAGATAATGTGTGTGTGTGTGTGTGTGTGTGTGTGTGTGTGTGTATAAACACATACGGTATATATTTACAAACTTTTTTTAGATTGCGATATTATGGTATGTTATAATAAGAAATAAGAATATAATGAGAAGTCAGAAATGTAATAACAAGATATCTAATAATAGGAATCTAAGGATACAAAACATTGATAATAAATTTAATATGAAAATAAGTTTAAAATATGTCACAATATGTTAAATGAGGTCAGGCACATGACCACCCACACTTACATGATAAAGACGACAGTCATTCGATTCAGAAATTTACGCTGTTGTATTTTGTTCACTTTTATTTATTGCCTATTTTTAATTTGGACCTTGAGTCTGTAATTAGGTTTGATGATAAGTCAGAGAGAGGATGAAAATGGTCATGTAGGTAAAGCTTCAGCTTTTTTGCACAATAAAACTTGATGAACATTGTAGATCTCAGGGATAAAAGGGCAAAGCTAGAGACAGTATAACTCCACACATCAATGCAATTATTTTTCTGGTTCATTTTCTCCAGGGTGCGAGCTTTCATAACCATCTATTAACTGGACGTTTATGTAAATGATTAATGGCCATGTGACTGAGCCTTTAAATGGGCACTGAATAGTTATTACAGGCAGAATATCATTGAGAAGTGGAATTGCTGCTCCATGATGTGCTTTATTTTAAATCAAAGCCATAACCATTGTATATCAGCTCTATACTGCTTTATTGAAACACATCCATTACTATCACCATGGTAACTGCACTTTTTCTGCCCCCAAATGCACTTTCACAGCAAACAGCAACTGTTTGGAGATGGAACATCCACACTAGAATCAACACCGTAATGGCATTTCTATTAAACCAGCGCTGTTTAGTGAAATTTAAAGATTTTGAAAGCATTAAAATCTGATAACAATAATTAAATTCACATTACGAGTGCCTATATGCCATGTTTTTTAAGACAAAGTAATGATTTGGGGGACAAAACAAAACAGTGGCAACAGACATTGGAATGGAAAGCGGTGTTTTTACACCTTTTATTTTAATTTAGGTGTCTAAAATGAAGCTCCCCAAACTGCGAGTAAGCAGGGACATGACTTGTAAAAAATGTACTATATGCACTATATTATTATATTTTTACTTTTATATCATATATATATATCAAATATTCTAATGTCATTATTATCCAGGGTTCCCACACCTTGGTTAACATCAAATTCAAGGTCCTTTCAAGGACTTTCCAGGTCCAATACCCTCATATTCAAGGACTTAATGTGGGGACACATTTCAAGTGAGAGAGCAAGGTTACATCGTGTACATGTAAGATACATTGTTACAGTTTTCATCTGTCAAACAACTAGGCAAAAAAGCTTCTTTTTTTTTTTTGCCATATGACAGATCTGATATTCCATTTGTCGTATTTATGTTTTGCATAAAACCGAAGAATATTGTGTACATCCTATAATTATATTTATTTCTACATAACTCTTCAGTACATGTTGGCGTGCCTTAAGTATTTATTTACTACTTAAATTATGATAACATGAGTATGTAATTATTGTCCCATTTTTATTTAAATAATTTAGCACTTTTTAAAACTGTTGTTGATGGACTTGTTGTTGTTTTGTTTTTTAGCTGATATCTGAAATCAGACATCAATCTGATCAAACACATTTAAAGTCACTGGGCCTTGTTTACAAAATGAAAACTGGCCATACGGTCGTTTCCGCACAAAACTGGACATTTATCAAAAGGGGCGTGAGATGTGGCTACGATCAAATCTTGCATCATGTTTCAACTCCCACACGCAAGTTTTGCGTCCAGCATAGTAAATCTGGTCCAGAATTGTTTTGGTTTTTTGAGAAAAGCATTTTGACTGGAATGAAAGCATATGAAGCCAAGCCACATATTCATCATTTTAAAAATGTGTTGCCAATGGTAAAATATTTGATAAGTAGTGTGTCATTTAGTCTATCCATAACATTAATTAAGTATTTTCTTGTGGTAAATAATTTAATTGTTTGCAATAACAAGGTTTTTGGTATATGTATTTTTGGTATAAGATCAATTTCTCTTTCATCAGATTACTGATGCATCAGATTCTTTTTGACCGGGTTAAGTTTCTCCATGTCATAAACTCTTCATATGGACGTGATATTTATACTGTTTTCAGATGCCACATTTATTAACGTACGATCATTCGTACTAAGGGATTTGCGGCATACGAATGTTTCATGAATCACGCATGAACCTTGGGATGTCCCGATCCGATACTCAGGATCGGTATCGACTTCGATACTGCCATTTTTGCGGGATCGGGTATCGATCAGACGAGGCCGATCCAAATCCGATATTGTGCGTATACTATTATGTGTTATTGTTAAGCCCCACAAAAGGCACAAAAATATTCTAAAGTATTATAACGTTTTCGTGCACTCTATTATAAGTGTCCTGAAGACATTACGTGAGAAAAATTAATATTTAAGTCATTCTCTCTCAGTGTTCAGACAGCGCGTCGCGTTCGGTTACAGTCAATGATGAAACCATCTTCAAGATGATTCAATGTTAATATTATTTTACTTGATCTGTAGATAAAGCTCTATGTTTTCACATAAAACAACTGTACATTGCAGGACTTTATTGCTGTAACTCAATCATGTTACTCTCTACCGGGTGTCGGACGCTGTCGGTTAGATCACAACACTAGAGTCTGAGCACTATAAGTGTTCTTCACGGGCACAGTAACTGAAATTTAAAACTGTTTAAAGAAAAGACTCAATAAACTATTGCATAGATAGATACTGTATAATATACTGTCCATCAATATGTATTTCCTTTGTGCTTTGAACTTTTCAATGTGGACTCGACGCGCAGCATGCTGTAACTCCACGAGGCTTCAAGCGCATCATTCTCCGCTCGGGATGCGCATAAGCGCTTTGTGCCGCACTGTATTGGAGTCTTTAATATCATTTAATTATATTTAATAATGCAGTGACGCAATTAAAGCTTATTAACATTAATAATTATTAATGTTGCTGCCTCATTAAATAGCTGTGCAATACACTTAAAACATGTGTCAATTTTATAGTAGCCTTGGCTATATTTAAAATAATTTCTTTTTCATTTTTGTTATCTTGTTTTTCATGAATGCATTTTACAACAATACAAAGAGCAATATGTATTATTCACTAATCTAGTTTATAATAGCATTTTTGTCATAGATTATGATCATATATTTTGGGGATTTGTTCTTTATCTTTATAATTAAGCTATCTGTATTAAGTAGATAGTGTTTAACACACACAAGAGTGATAATTAGTTCAACCCACAGTTATGGAAATTCTAATTGATTTACAAAAAAACTGTACTGGTATTTACAATGTAGAATACTGCTGTTTAAATCGTTTTAACTTTAAACCTGTTGGTAGCTAGCTAGCTTTAAGGACTGAAGTACCTGTATTTTCTTTTATTTATATATATTTTTTTAATTTTTTTGTACTGTTTGAATAAAGGGTGGCAATCTTTCATAATCAACTGTTGTTGTGGACTATATACTGGAGGTATATTTTAAGGGGCTAATTGAGATAAGTGTTATATTTTTTATTAGTTTAAGAATAAAATAAAAATATCGGATTTATATCGGTATCGGCAAAAGCCAAAGCTGCGGCATCGGTATCGGAAGTGAAAAAGTGGTCTCGGGACATCCCTACATGAACCCTGTCGTAAACTGATTTCTGCACTAGTTTCTACGTTAGATTGGACCACTATGAGGGGGACTGACTTGCATCTATGAAAAAACGTCCTACTTGTTCAGTGTTAAAATGAAGTTAAAAAGTGTCTCAGAAAAGTACTGTTACCTCTGAGGAAACCAGCATTATTTGCCAACTGGTTTGATGCTTTGTATCTAATGCATTAATATTCAAATATTTATCTGTGTGACATAAGTGTCCAAAAACGTTTTTGGGACCATTGTAAATACATAGAGAAAGAGATTACTTGAATATACTGCACATAAACATTTCATTACATTTTAGGGGAAGCCGTGTTTCCTGTAGTTGCCACTGATACAAAAATAAAACAAACTTGTTTGCAGATGCCTCACTTAAGATGTTACATGTCGTGGGCCATTAAATGAACAGATTTGAGTTTACCTGCTGAGTGGGTACTGCTTCCCGTGTTCTGCCTGAGGGTCATGTTGGCGAATGGCTCTGATAGCAGTGGGAGCGGTAAACATAGAGGCTGTTCCGTGCTCAGACATCACACGGAAAAAGGCCCCAGGGTCCGGAGTCCCCACAGGTTTACCCTGCGGAAACAGCAACTGCTTAGAGCATCTGAATGCATAAATGAGGCCAATGTCTTCAGAGACATGAGAAAATGGTTCAATATTATGTTAAAAAAAATCAACAAAATGACTGAAGATTTCCAATTAAAAACCCCAACAAAATTACTGAATTAGAGTCTTTTGAAAAAAAGTCCAATTTTATTTCCTACTGAAGTTGCTAAAGTTTCATATTTTGCACACCCATCTGTTGCAAGTACAACAATTTTCCCAACACTTTTGAACTGTACAAGTCTCCCAGTGTCAGACTGGAACAGTATGGGGCATTTGCTGCGGTTGGGGAGTGAATATAAAATCAAGGATGTGTTTGAAATGGAGAGTGGTTTGAAAAGGTGCCTGGGTGGCAGATGGCCAAAACGTATGGCAAAGGAACGGAATAATATTGTTGCAGAGAGATTGCACACACAAGTAGCTCTGCACAACACTGAGCTGTTCAAATATTCATGTTTCTGCCATGCTGCTCAGAGAGAATACTCTTAGAGATAAACGATGACTTCATATTACAACAAATCAAACGGATTGCACACTCATCTTGTTTCTAGAACAGCGTTCGTTTGCATTTTAGTGAGAAAAAAAATGGCAATCAATTTCTAAATGATGAGATTTTTCTTAGACAAGCTTTGAACATAGATAACTAATAATCATTGTGACATGTAGGTGTTGTTATAGAAAAAAAAAGTACAGGTCTACCTACGGCTGATTGATTCCAAAGAAAGAAAGTAAAGTGGGGAAAAATCATCAGCTGCCCATGAATAATTGTTTAACTGAGCAAGAACAAGAACAAGGTTTTTCCTTGATTTACAATGTTCAAAAGAAGGATCTGCATCTGTTGCACGTCAGCTTCAATCAGCAATTGGCAGGCGTTTAATGTTCCTTTTGTTTACCCCACTTTTAATATTAATATAAATGATCCAATATTTTGAAGTGAGTGATGTTTGCTTAAAGACGGGTTTTTCCAGGTCTTTACTTTGCGGTTGCTAAAGTACTGAGTGGTTTTCAGTTCATTGCTACGTGGTCTTAGGGGGTTCCTTCGTTATTGATAGGGCACTGATAGGTAATTATTAGTGTGATCTGGATGGTTACTTACTAGCAAAACAGCCAGTTTTGTTTTGTTTGCTTTTTTGGGTGAACCAATTACATCAATACGATCTTACTAGTGCAAATTGGAGATTAAAAAAAAAATAAAAAATAAAAAATAGAAAAAAATTAGACAGAGAAAAAATGTATTGCGATATGCACTACACAAATAAATCTGAATGATTCATATTATTTGGAAGTAAAGATATACACTAGTCAACATTTGAAGTGGATCAAAACCTTTCATCAAAGTTATAAATGAATTTTGAACAATACCCGTTCTTGTCCTTGTTTAAACGTTAATCAACTATTTTGATCAACTTCAGATAATCCCAGATATTACTTTATAAAATTTATTTCAGCTTTAGTCTTGTACAATGACAACCTAAATCTCAACAATATTACACTACTTTTCTTGCAAATATATTACAAACAGGGTCCGTAGCAAGGGGGTGATTATATTTGGGGTCATTGGCGTTAAAAAGTTTGAAACCTGTTTTCTTAGCAATCACCACCACTACTGAATAAATCAGATCAGGTTTGGCATGTTGCATTAGTTGTGCATTAGTTGATAGTATAAACCCAATAAGATCATAAATGAGCATAATTACAAAAGACATTAATTAAAACAGCCTGAGTGCTTTTTTGGTCTGGGTTGATAGTAGAACAATTGCCACCAACACAGCCCTGGACATTAACATTGTATGAGAGATCTATTGAAATCAAACTTCCATTACAGCAGACTAATAAATTCTGTGAGCATCTCCCATTTTCTCATGTGAAGCGAAACAACACATCTAATCAGCAGAGATGCCAGTGCTGAATTCACCTTGACATAAAACCAAACACATGATCGTCTCCCACCGAGTGCAAATGATTTTAATATTCATGCTGCGATCTCAGCTAAGACTCATGAGGAGAACTAGTTTAATACTCTAAGAGCTGCTTTGTTACCAGTACAAAAGCTTACAAAAGCAACAGCAAATCGAATGCTCAACAAAGTCAAACTGAGCACAAATTAGGAATTTGCATTAGAATTTGCTTCCTTGCATTCATTCCCCTCAAGAAATGAATGTTAGGGCCTGTAAAAATCCACAGTACGGACAACAGTTCAGCATGAGTGTCAGGATCCAGCAAACCACAACAGCAGTTAATTGACTGTTAGCTGGAGCGGTCCACGGGTCAAATGCTATAAGCACTCACACTCATTTCAAATTCGCTCATTTTTGCACACACATGCCCCGTACCTCGTAGAGCACAGTTGTGTTGCCGTGTAGAAGCGGACCGTAGCAGATATAGGAGTGGCCCACCACCCAGCCAAGGTCAGACGCGGCCCACCAAACCTGACAGAGAGGGACGTGAAGGTTAAACAATGTGAGACAGAAGCTTTTTCAAGGGGTCATGTCATGCATTTAAGTTCAAAGAAGTTCGACAATCAAGGCTTGAGGACGTTTCTGAATGGTTGCTTAACGTAACGTTACTTTGATCTATCTTTGTATGCACTGGCAGAGTAGAGTAGTGAGATGCAAACGCTGTGTTTACTGATGTATACAGTTCATTGACAGATTGACGTTACAACTAATGGTCATGAAACACTATTTTCCGGTGATTTGCAAAGATTAATATAAAGATTAATAAAACTTTAGGTGCAGAGGGAACATTAATAGTTGGTACTGATTATTTTTTCAGCAGCAGCAGCTTCTTAGCAAAACCAGCTTTATACTGATCCTCATTTATAAAGCAGTCTGGTGAGAAATGATTCGCGCAAACAAGAAAGTATTGACGTTGATCGTGGGGAATACTCCCTTCGCAAACAAAAAACTCAGCCACTGCGCCTTCAGCTGTTCAAATTTAGGAACATCAGAATGATTTCTGTGTTTATTATTGCACCCAAGAACAGAACAACACAGTCGCTTAGACGCCATTCTGCTCCAGTGTATCAACAATGACGGACCATAGTCTATGATGACGGCTCGCTCAGGGCGGGTCTGTGTTGAAACACTGCTGTCAATCAACAACCGCGGGAGGGGCGTGCGACTGTGTGACGTCGAACGGTCGAACGGCTCGATTTGAGGCAGGGGAAAACATATAAGGAGATAAAAACAAAAGCACTGGATGGATTTTTATCATTAAATGATGGTTGTGTACAGGCACTGACAACACACATTACAGTACAATCAACTTGTAAAAGTGCACGTACCATTATATGACCTCTTTAAATTTTTTTTATAAAAATGTAGTTCTTCAAGACATTACCACTTGCAAAAATCACAGATCATGACGTACCTCACCAGGAGACAGTCCATAAACGTTAGACATGGTCCAGTTTAACATCACGGCATATCCTCCTGAATCTCTGACTACACCCTGAAGAGAAGAAAGAAAAGAAAGACATTAATTACAGGAAGCAAACATCACTGTTAAGGCCCTTTTTTTTTTTTCTTAAAGAACAAGTTCAGTATTTTACACTTAAAGCCCTGTTTTAGGATCGTTTCTGATGAAACAGGATGGTTAAGATTGAAATTTGGACACATGCTGCTGGCCCAAGAATTTTCGCTTTCTGTGGTTGCATATGTTCACTGGAACAATCCTACCTAAAACGCATTAAACTTTAGTTTACAAAGATGTGAAACTCACAGAGTGGTCTGGGGTATTCACCAATATGCTCACACAAAAATCTCTGAAAAAGATGCTTTCCAACAGGTTTTATCGTAACGTTTTTGTCTAAGAAAAGTTGATGGAGTTGGACAAAAACTACAATAAAAAACCTGGAAAGGGGATGGGGGCACTGGCCCCAAAAAACATCCACTGCTTTAATACTGATATATTATTATTCATTTTCTATTATTCATACAAATACTTTTTTTTTATTTACAAAGCCTTCAAGACAATCATGTAATCATGTTTTATTTCATAATCATGTGAGATGAACAAAACACAATTAATCACCAATATATGTATTACAATTCATTTGGTCCTTACAGTCAGTAAAACATTTTCAAATCAGGTTGAGGGTTGATACTGAGGGACACATTTTGAGTTAGATCCTGTGTGTGCCAAACAGACTTCGATCCATAAATCGGACGGGTGTGTATGAGAGCAAGCAAGGGCCATTAGCAAGTGTTTTATGTACAGGGCAGCATTGCCTTGAGCCGTATATTTCACACTGGCTGAAGACTGGGTCAGTGGAGAGCCGTATTTGTTCCCTCTGCCTTCAGGCCTAGTAACTTCCTCTTGTGCTCCTTGTACTCACTTTCTCCTGACTTGCTTCTTGTTCAGTCAAAGTACATATAAAAGTGAGTTGTCAGGGATTGACAAGCACCTGAGGCATGCTGACACAAATTTCAAGACGCTATTAGCCTCTTGGACAATATTAAATTGGCAAAATATTTTTTTTTTTCTTGGGGTGGAACAAAAGAATAAAGTATGGGAAATGTAGGAAGTTAAAGAATACACTGCTTAAAATGGTTCAAAACAACCATTGATGGGTTATTTGGCACCCGGGTTCTGGGTAAATATTGGACATAGCTATTATTTCTGGGTAAATATTGCATAGAACACATGCTGGGTTCTTTATTTTGGGTTTTATACATTAACCCTTTTCCTAATTTGTTGCACAGTGCAATGCCAAACAACCTCATATTGAAGGTTTCTCTTTTGAAATAATACATTTAAAATCATTAAATATCTAGAACAGGGGCAATATAAAATATTAAATATTTTTTTATTCAATGACAAGTCAGTCTTTGACAATCATAAAATACTCAAAAACATATTGAAAATATTTTAGAAAGTCTCAGGATGAGAGAATCTGTGGTAAGAAAACTGGTATCAGGTTTGGCAGGAGGTCAAACTTCCATTTGACGGCACATGACATTGTTTACTCTGAGTGTAGATCCGGTGTATGCTGCGTCTGTAGAAGGAGAGCGTTCCAAGCAGGCGTTAGCTGTGATGGACATGTGAACAAAAAAGGTATAATGTGAGAAAACAGAGGTTTTCCTGTTTCTACAGTAAAAAAAAATATTTAAGGAAAACAATGTAATACAAACCTTAATTTCTTTTCAGGAAGTTTCCCTTCAGGACGTTTTCTCTCAGAATAGACCACAAATGACCATTTGGCAGATTTATCCAGTTTTAACCGGTACGACACAGACTACCCAACATTGTAACAACAATAAAAATAACCCAATAAAAAAATACCAAACTGGCTGAATCAAAAATATAACCCAACATTTTTAGCTGATATTTTGCTGATCATCAAAAAAACTGAATATATCAAAATGATTTTAAGGCATTTTAATTAGACATAGCATATTTGAAAAATAAAAACAGCCTGCAGTTTGGAAATACATAATGAGAAAACACGATACATCAAAATAAGAGTTCAATTTTTAGCTTCTTTTTTACTTATTTTGCCCTGAACCGCAACGTAAAAAAAAAAAAAAATAGCATTTCAAGATTAAAGTTGAAATGTTTTGAGATTGGATTCGCAAAATTTCGACATTAAAGCCGAAACGTTTTTGAGAATAAAGTCAATACATTACGATAATAGGAGTGTGTACATGCATAGTAGTGCGTGTCCACTACCACAGAGCGTGCGTGTGTGTGTGTGTGTGTATGTGTGTGAAAAAAAAAATGCACTCTCCCTCTTCACCGTAAACATGCTCTGGATACATTTTAAGTGCATCATTCTGTGTCCAATCATTTGACCGGATCCTGTGATTTCCTCAGATTTAATAACCACTAGTGGTGGAGGAGAGATTCTGATATGATTGTAAAGCACTTTGAGTGTAGGCCTAGTAGACATGAAAGCACTATATAAATGCCCCATTCATTCATTCATTCATTAAGCTAGATATCTCCAACCAGTCTGAAAAGTGTTTTCCGGGTTGGTTTTCCTATAGGCTAAAGTCTATTCCGGCGCACTATAATGTCTATATGGTAGCCAGATTGGCACCTGTTGAATCTCCTTTTGTAGAAACAAATCACAGACACAAACGCACACACACACTCGCTATGCCACATTATGAATGGCTGTGTGTGCGGCAATGTGAGACAATGGCAAGCACACACGCAGCTTTTATACGGAAGACTGTTTTCTCGTACACTCGAAATGTTTCGACTTTAATCTCGAAATAGTCCTAGATTTCTTATTTTTACATTGCGGTTCAGGGCTTCCGTAGTGTCCTATAGTGAAACAGGAGAGTTTATAAAGATGTATGGCTCATGGTCTCCAGCTAACACAATATGCAATAAACAAAGCACCAAACAGCATGGATCTATTCCACACAAAACTAGCTGCGTGCCTTATCGCTGTGTACTATCATAAACAATATTTTACCTTAGGAGTGCCAGTAGTGCCGGAGGTGTACAGGACGTACAGAGGATGATGAGCAGGGACGGACACACAGTCATGAGGGCGGGCAGTGGCCATTTCCTCCTCCCAGTCCAAACTCAGGTCAGGACGCGTGGACACCTTTTCCTATGGGAAAGAAATGGGAAAAGGTGTTAAAGCATGCTCCTCAGAATGATCAGAGAATGATATTAGGAAACAAGTCTAGCTCAAGACCAAGCAGGAGTTATTTTTATATTATTTAAGTAATTGTATCATTTTTATTCATATTCTGAGTTAGCTTTTATTTTAGTTTGATCATTGTTTTGTAATTGTTCTTTTGTCTTTCATCTAATATTTAGACTTTATTTTCCAGTGTTTCAGGTGCCTTAAAGGAATAGTTCACATACATTTTTTATTTCTGCCATGATTTATACACCATGATGCCGTTTCAAAACTGTATGACTTCCTCTTTTTTCCCCTACTTGTATTTCAGGCATATCGCATTCAGTTGTGAGAAACACAAAAAAAACTTATTTAAGCCTTATAGACATGTTTTATGATTAATTACAGAAATCTCTTTTTTTTTTTTTTTGTACAATGTGTCCATTGCTGGCAAATATCAAAATGTAACAGTTGATTTCGTTGGATAAGTGTGTTAACCCAGTGTTTTGGTATTTGTTGCGGCAGTGCATGGATGTGTTTTCATTCTAATCAAGTAGTTTTGAATATTCCAAAATATTCTGTAAATAAGATCCTGTTATTGAGTAATCTTCTAAAGTTCTAACAGGATATACACCTCTGCGGCTGGCAAATTCTTTCTCAAATTAGATTTTTTTTTTTTTTTTTTTTTTTTACTGATTTCCAAAACGTGTTCTTCTTTACAAACCATTCGGGATTCATCCTGCATCCCAAACCGCTGGAAAATCAAAAAGCTATTTGCAAACAGTTTCCATGACAACACAGGATGAAGCTTAAGCAATTTCCTGCGTTGTGAAATCAACATACTGATTGTAGAAGTGGCAACATGAGAAAACTCATTTAAACAGACACCAAAAGACGAAAAATTAAATGAGTTTAGCTAGAGTTTTGAAATGCTTAACACTTTGAACATTTGATTTCCTAATATATTTTAAGTGCTATTTTAATATACAGTACAGCTAAACAAATTTTAGAATTTAGAGGTACTCTTTTAGAAAGGGGACCACATTTGCATTTGTATTCACTACTCTCACTGCATTACCTTCTCTTTTAACAATTAATAGGCAGTAAAAACTGTGCCAGTTTGACAATAAAACTGGCATCCAGGTGCCGTGGGGTTTTTGGTAACTCACCATGCTGGGCCGGTTGTAGATGAGGACTTTGTGTGGTTTGTGAGTGCTGAGCTCCAGAGCTTTCTCCACCAGGGGAATGTACTCCACTCTTCTGCCTGGCTCGATGCCATATGATGCTGTCACCAGCAACTTGGGCTGCGGGGAAAAAGATGATTTAAGATTGCAAGTGGTTTTCGCAACCTCAGCAGGGATATGCATTTACAAAAATAGCTTTTTATTATTCAATTTCATAAAAAGAAAACCCAATGGCTTGCCTTAGCATGGTCGATACGGACGGAAAGCTCTTTGGAGGCAAATCCTCCAAATATGAGGCTGTGGGTGGCACCAATACGGGCACATGCCAGCATGGCGAACATGGCCTGAGGAACCATAGGCATATAGATCACCACCAGATCACCCATCTTCACGCCATGCCTCACCAGAACCCCCGCCAACCTGGACACCTAAAAACAGGTGTATGGAAGTTAAACTTTATGGATACATTACATTTACAAACTAGAGGCAAGTCAGAAATATTAAAATATCAATTCATCAAAACAACAGAAACTGTACACTGAATGCAAATCGGTCCAGCATTCTATGAAGCGTAAAAAGGTTATTGAATTCAAAGACTTAATGTGCGGTCAACATTTGATCGTGTCCGGTGAATTTTTCGTGGGCAAAGTTCAAGGGACCCACGCACAGGAATTTCGCTAAATTTTCCCCATATAGATTTATCCACGGGTTCAAGTTTGGTCACGCAAATTCACTCCATAGATCAGCAGAGTGCTGCTTCTTTTGAAAGTGACTTCTGTGTGAGCTCATACATCAATACACTATTGACGACAGACAATAGACCCTTTTTGCCTGTGAGATTTCACTAATGTGACCGCACCTTCTTTGTTTTTTACCTGCTCCTGCATTTCTCTGTATGTGATGACCACTTTAGTGCCAGTAACAGGACTGTCATAAATGACAGCTGCTTGATCACCTCTTCCATTCTCCACATGCCGATCGACAGCATTATAACACATATTCAGCTTTCCTCCAACAAACCTATAATGGAAACAGTTGTTCTTAAAGAAATAGTTGAACTGAAGTAATACTCATGTTGTGATACCTTGACCATTATTAATTTAAAAAGCTTAAAAGAATATTAACCAAAATGTTTAAAATGCTATTTACCATCATGCACAAATCAAAATGCATTTCAATAAATATTACTAATAGAATTAATCGAATTTTAAGTCTTTTTGAAGGAACCATAAGCCATGAACCAGCTGTGAGATGAATCATAGCGTTACAAACTTTAATATGGAGAAAAATATATATTTGAAAATCGGAAAGTACGAGAAAAAAACTAAAATCAATGAATAAATATAAAACTACCGAATTTAAGACATCTTTTAACTACAAACAATCTCATTTATTCAATGTCAATCACAAGAAATGTAAATTGTCATTATTCATAATTTACTCTTCCTCGTGTTTTGTTTCTACCGAAAGCTTTCTTTCGGTAGAACTGTTATTTTGAATAATGTTGAGTGAACTTTCATTCATAGCATTTTTTTCCCATACAGTGAAAGCGAATTGTGACTGAGGCTGTCTTTTGGTGAACTTTCCCTTGTTTACAGGTATCACGCCCGAGACCCAATGTTCAATTCCATGAACTGTTGACCGTAAAAACGTAATACAAACACCCCCTAATACTGTAGACTACTTACCATTTTGGAAACACTGTATCCGTATCATCCAGAGTGTTGGTCCAGTGTTCAAACCAAGTAATCCCACGAGCCGCTTCACTCCAAAACTTTTCTGGTTTGTCACGTGCCAGGCCAAACGCGTCCTCATACGTGTATTTTGATGAAAACGCGCGAATAAAATGTTTCCTGTAAGCGTTATCATTTGTGTTTGGCTTATAAGCCAGCGGTATACATCCATGTCCGATATTAGTCTTTACATTTTGCAGGTAACTTGGTCCAGACACACCTGTGCAAGAAAACTTCAGCCTCAACAAACCTCCAGAGCCTGCAGCACTCACTGTTTTGTTACTTTCCTTCACTCTAGACGCAGATACATTTCCAATGCTGATGTGTTTTAAACGCGTAGTTTGGAAAAGACGCATGTTTTGGCGTTATCTATTCAGAATGTCGTCGTTTCAGCTGCAATGTTTACTGACAATAGCGAGCTCCAAATTTCTCAACTCAAAAATGGCCGCGAAATAATTCAATACTTCAGATCACAGGCAGAGGCCACTCCAAGATACTGCAATCCATGCAATGAGATCATTACGTAATGTTGGGACTTTCTAGGGTGTCCTGTGCATGATTTATGAAACACAATGTTTAAGCACGGCTATAGTAGGCCTATGCTTATAAATGTATATAGCCTACACATATTGTTTTCAAACTGTTTCTAATTCAAGGAACTACTGTGTCAAAGACAATTATTAAAAATATTATGTGGAAAATATTTACTTTGTAATAAATCTAGTCTTTTTCTGCTCTGAGCACTGTTAGCTTTAAGTTAAAAAACACAATTCATTGAACAGAATTCAATTCAATTTTTCGGATTATAATTGCTCCACAAGCAGCTTGCCCTTAACCCGCATTAAGCAAGCAAGGCCACAGCGAACAGAGGGAACCAATAGAAACACTACACTCTTTAGCAAGCAGAATGAAAGTAATAATGTCGAGGGTTTGTTTTGTTTTACACTATTGTTCTCTGAAATCTTCCATTGACCCCCTAGCATGGACTATGTAGCTATCCCTCTGGCCTACAGTCAAATCAATAACAGAAAGAAATGATATATTCACTCCAACCTACCTCATCTTTACACACTAGTGGTTTGCTTTTAGCCTTTTGGAACAGATTGTAAATACTAATGTCACAGAAAAATGCTTGAATATGTTTTGTTTTTTTTCTATGGATATTACATTGAACAGCATTCCACATTATTGTTAAACATATAGATGCATTCACATTCCACTCGTATAGACACTTCCATATAATAATGCAAAATATCTTGTTTTGCATTTCACAGAGGAAAACAATTCATGCAGGTTCAGAATGAGATGAAGGCCATAAATTGTCAATTTTGAGTGAACCACCATTCTTTTAAACACTTTATCGGAGGCAATGTCTTATGCATGGCTCTTGCAAGACCAGCTATTTCAGTCATTAATGACTGCTGTCTGTGTACATACACCTCTCTGACTGCTGACTGCAGTCCCATTTTAACTGTGCAACCTGGACACTGCGATTGAGTCATTCATCAATCTTGCTGGCAGTTAAGGGATGATGTGATTTACAAATCGCTTGTGCAATGTTTTCTATTAGAGAGACTGAGGCGATTAATGCTAAGTGGTCCAATCGTCCTGTGTTGCAGATTGTCTGTATGCAGATTACGAAACGAATTGCTCAGGATTTAATAGAACTGAATAAGATGAATATATCTTGCAGAATGAGGCAAATTGCTAGATTGATGACATTTGCCCTTTTTGATTGCAAAACAATGATGTAACTAGCTGTTACTGCAAACCAGCAGCATAAAAAGCTGGTAAAGAAATAACTATAATGTGGAGTCTGCTGAAAAATTTTGGGACATATCATTTCTATCATTATTTTTCCCCCACTTGTGGTGCACTTGTAATCCATGTACAGTTTTTGAGCCAAAACTGAAGTTTTGTGGGTTTTCATAACCCTTTTACATTTAAAGGGGACCCTTTTATGCAAAATTCACTTTTTAAACATAAATGTGTGTCAGCAGTGTGTGTACACAACAGGTAACGAACTGTGTCTCCAGGTCTCCATCGTCCTGTGTGTCTTCTAGTCGTCGTGTTCAACAGTTCCCTGGTAAAGACATTGAGTTACTCATCTGTGAAGTGTTCATCGTATCCAGTCTATACTCATCGCACTCAAGTATTGATCTGCACTGTTCACTCATCACTTTGCTTACTCCGTATATAAATAAATCTGTAAATACTAACATCCTCCTTGTTTGTCCTTCTGTGAGTGTAACAACTAAGGAGAGATTTTAGGGAACTAAAATCCATTTTAGATGAAAAGACTTCATCATATTTTATATTCATCTTTAGTTCTTCTACGGTCAATAACATCATCTTGCTGGCTTCCTCTTTAAAAAAATTTTCAAACAAGTTTCTGAATACCTATGACATCGATGTGTCCTAAGTTTTAAAAATAATGCTCTAATTCCAGTATGTCACGGTGTGGCTCTGGCTGAAGGACGAGGAGACTGGAGTATCGGTGAGAACAGGGTTTATTATATACAAAAACAAGCAGGAAGACAGGAACACGGGCACCACACGGGCTTACAACAAAACATCTATAGACAACAACCGACAAAGACACTGAGGGAACTAAATACACAGAGGAATCAGACATAATGAGGTGAAGACAGGTGAAACAGATGAACAGGACGCTGAACGGGAGTGAGTTCAGGTGTGCAGACAAGAGGATCATGGGAAGTGTACTGCTGGAGACGCAGACAGGATGGTGCAGACGAAGGACTGTGACAGAACTCCCCCCTCCCGGGAGGCGTGACCTCACGCCGCAGAACAGAGGAAGGAGGGGAGACGAACTGGGGGCTGAGCGGGGCGTGGCCAGGGCGGAGCAGGCTGAGGGCGTGGCCAGGGCCGAGCAGGCTGAGGGCGTGGCCAGGGCGGAGCAGGCTGAGGGCGTGGCCAGGGCGGAGCAGGCTGAGGGCGTGGCCAGGGCGGAGCGGCGGAGCAGGCTGAGGGCGTGGCCAGGGCGGAGCAGGCTGAGGGCGTGGCCAGGGCGGAGCAGGCTGAGGGCGAGACCAGGGCGGAGCAGGCTGAGGGCGAGACCAGGGCGGAGCAGGCTGAGGGCGAGACCAGGGCGGAGCAGGCTGAGGGCGAGACCAGGGCGGAGGCGATGGAGGGAGGACCGGGTGAAGCTGAGGGACAGACGACATTGGGTGCTGAGGAGGGACCGAGGGACCATGGTGACACCGTAGGCTCTGGTGACTGAAGTGACGACAGGGGCACAGAGGGACACAGTGAGGCCAGAGCGAGTGAGGGCTGACGGGTGACTGGAGGGAGTGAGGAGTCCGACAGAACCGGGGGGGTGACATGACGGGGCGGAGCCAAGGGAAGGAAGTCCAAAGGTGAAGGAAGGATGACGAGGGAGCGCAGGGAATCCGGAGGGTCGAAGGAGCCTGGCCGAGGTGGTGGACTGAGGGGCCAAGGAGGAGCTGAGGGAGGTAGGAGCCACGGGGGAGCCAATGGGACCAGGGGCCGAGGAAGTGTCCAGATGGAGGAGGTGTGAGGCGAAAACCGGGGATCCCATGACCAGGCTGGGTCAGGGGAGCTGGTAGACAGAAGGGCTGACGGATGCATGACGGGAGGAGGTGGGAGAGGGAGGCAGGGTGGGATCCTGGTCTCTGGGGCAGGCTGGACGATCTCTGGCGCTGGCTGGACGGTCTCAGGCGCTGGCTGGATGGGGCTGGACTTAACCAGCGAAGAGGAGAGCTCAAGCTCGGCGGGGCTGGACGGAACCAGCGGAGAGGAGAGCTCGAGCTTTGGAGTGGTGCTGGTTACTTCCCCCACGGTAAATGGAGACCCACAGCACACCAGCACCCACTCCACACAGGCGGCGAAATCATCGGGACTGTTCCCTGGGAGGCGTGCCCGGGACCGCTCGCTGAGGCTGGCGATGTAGAACTCACTCAGCGAGTGGTCAGAATAGTGAGTTAGGCACGCCAACTCCAGAAAGTCCCGTGTATGGGATTCCAGGGAACGGTCTTCTTGATCAAGGCAGAGGAGAGCCACTGCGGGAATGTCCATTTTTTCTTTTTCTTTTCCTTTTTTGGTTGGTTGTTCTGTCACGGTGTGGCTCTGGCTGAAGGACGAGGAGACCGGAGTATCAGTGAGAACAGGGTTTATTATATACAAAACCAAGCAGGAAGACAGGAAGACGGGCGCCACACGGGCTTACAACAAAACATCTATAGACAACAACCGACAAAGACAGAATGAAACTGAGGGAACTATATACACAGAGGAATCAGACATAATGAGGTGAAGACAGGTGAAACAGATGAACAGGACGCTGAACGGGAGGCTGATGAGGGAGTGAGTTCAGGTGTGCAGACAAGAGGATCATGGGAAGTGTACTGCTGGAGACGCAGACAGGATGGTGCAGACGAAGGACTGTGACACAGTAAATGTCCTCATTGGACTGGCTTTTTTTTCCCATTCTTGAAGTTCAAGTGTGTCTTGTACAGTATCTCAAAGATAAAGGAAAAATGTATTTCTTATAATAAAACCCTTTTTAACTTGTGCTGAATCCTCAAATTACCCCATTAAAGTCTCTTTTCTGCCTGGCATCTGACATTCGCCTCAACACACTGCTCTCCATTTGCATGTGTTTGTTTTAGCTTTTGCATTTTCAATGGTCTCACAGCACGTCTTCATCTCTGATCTGCATTCAGTAAGCACATCACACGAACTGTACATCTTCAATTAGTTTCCTCCCTGTGTGGAAGGATTATAGACAAGAATCAAGCCTTAGCCTTAGAACAAGCCCGTCAACTTGCTTCCAGCGCTTATTTACAGTCAGTACGAGGACTTTCTAAAACAGAGCCATTCATATTGCCATAACTCCCTCTCACTGGCGGTAATAGCACAGCTATTGCTTGACTGTAAATGTTTCATTTTTATTTCGTCTGCTACCCTGATGTGAAGTTGTGGAGGGTGTCAATGATCTTACTAGATTAGCTATGTTTACATGCACAACTTGTTTCAAACAGACTGAATTCATTCTGATTGATGAATCTGAATGTGAACGCTAAACATTTGAGTTGATGTGTGCGTTTTTGTCACACAAGCTTCAAATTAGAGTATATTTTTTTTGAGTTTCCTGCTGTTTTCACCAAATAACCATTCTCCCACATTGGTTCTTTATTTGTTTTAAACAGCAGATTTAATATTTATCCATTTCTGGACATAATTTGGAAACAATCAGCATATGAACCATTGTGCCTGTCAGGATTTGTCATGTTGTGTGTGTTAACTTATGGCATGTGGTTTGTCATGTGTCATTGTGGTCTGTTGTGAGCACATGGCTGTCATGTTAATTCCTTGTGCCATGTGCTCTCCTCAATTGTCTGACCCCGCCCATCTTGTTACCTGGTTATTGTTTAATTTCCCCCACCTGCCTTGTTACCCTCTTATGTTTGTTCCTTATTTAAGGTCCTTGTGTTGGTTACTTAG